ACACACACACACACACACACACACACACACACACACACACACACACACACTGGACAAATCTGGAGTTTAAGGGACCTCAGCGACCCACTCACTTTTCAAATGAGAAGTGGAAAGAGAAAGGCTTCCACTGCCAGAGTGGTAACCAGGCTACTGATGACCTGGAATTGCTCTTCTGGAAGAGCCTGGCATGCACTGTCCATCTTAGCAAGCTCTCAGTATGAAAAGAAACCACAGGACAGAGAATGGACAAGAACTGAGGGCCCACTCAGAGCCCTTAGAATCGATGTCCCCAACAGCCAGTCTCCCCAGCAGCTCTGTGCCCATCCCCAGAACCCGATTTTCTAATGAGCTGGTGTCATATATTTCAAGCCCAATGACAGCAGGGGTGAAGTCACAATCAGTAAACCAGTTGCCAGTTGAATGTGTGCGGTAAAAATATTTTCAGCTAATGATTACTATTTAATTGTGTGAATAAGTCTGTCATAGACTCATAGCATTTGACACTTAGACTGAGAACCAGACCTTTGGATCGGGAGCTCCATGATGGTGGGCCGGGGTCTCCCTTATTCACAGCTGCGCCCCAGTCCCTGGCGTAGGGCTGCCTGCACCAACTAGGAGCCTAATAAATCTCAGTAGAATGAATAAGGGCAGGATGTTAGACTCCATCAGAATGCTAGGCTCCTGGCCTCTCAACGTCAGGGTCACAGACTATTACATCCCCGCTTCTTGGACTGAAGGACCTAGAGAGGTGACAGCACCCACATTTTTCAGCTGCAAAACTGAGACGCTTCAGGTGTTTTTACCAAGAACCTCTCTTGCTTCAGGTGTTTTTACCAAGAACCTCTCTTGCTTATTGGAGGGGGAGGAGGAGGGAAGGGAGTGAAGAGAAAGGAGGGACAAAGGGTGCAGGAAGTTTCTTCTCTCCTAGTTATCAGGGGACCCTAATAAGTTGGGATAGCAATGGAGGCTCTCCCTCCCCAGGGCCCCAGCACCCCTCCATCCCCCTGCCCTGCCCCCACTATACCCTCCATAGGGCCAGGGAGGGCAAGTCAGCTCTGGGACTTGGGAGGACCCAGAAGCAGGGCTGACTTAGGCTACATTCTCCCCACCGGCATTTCTACTCCCTCCTCCTCTCTTCACCGCCCCACCCCCACCCCATTGGGGAACTCCAGCAGGAAATTTTGGAGGAGGGTCAAGGGAGTTCTCTCATGGGCTCCTGGTTGAGAACCTGGACCCTTTTCTTGTTGTTCTCCCCGACGCACCTTCCATTTCTTCTCAGACGCTCCATGAAGCTCACAGGTTAGAGGTGATCCAAGGTGAGGGAGCAAGAGCTGCAGTGGGGGGCCAGCCCCAGCCCTCTTTGGGCCACAGTTTTCCTGTCACAGTTAGCCTTGGACTAGAAGAGCTGTGAGACCCCTTCCAGTTCTGATATGCTAAGATTTTCTCTTTTTGTAGGGACCCCACGCTTTAGCAGTGAGGCCTTGGGCAAGTCCCCAAAGCAAAGCCCCTGCTAGCTCATCTATAAAATGGCATGTTACCAGAGGCAACCTGTCAGCTAGAGGGGATTTTCACCCCCACATACCTTTTGCTGCTGGTTTCTTGGGTCCACCACAGTGGTGGTTCAGGGCATTTAGTTAAGAGTTCAGACCTTGGTTTCTAGCTGGGCTGGCTTTGGGTCCCAGCCTCACCAATGACTGACTGTGTGGCATTCAGCTTAAGCTCACTGACCTTCAGTCTCCTCATCTATAAAGAATGAACTTAACATAGACCTACTTCTCAGGGCTGCTGGGAGATCATACCTGCAAGCTCATGGCGCGTGCTAAGTGCCCAATGCCAACTGTCACTTTGTGGCTGGCTGAGGTCTCTGGGGCCAAGGCAACCACACTGGCCTGGAGAGAGTCACCAGCTCAGAGAGAGAGCCGGAACCCCCTTTGATTGCAGACCAATTCTTGAGGCCCCCAGGGGGGTGACATCAAGGCCGCAATGAGCACAGGATGTTCTAGATCTCCCGTCCCTTCCCCACTTGCCCTTGGACCATGTTCTGAGAAGCCCAGGACACCATGGGCCCAAAGCTTCTGCAGGGGCCTAATTAATCCCTGGAGGGGCCGTGCATGACTGGCCTCTCACCCTCCCTGGTCTGTACCTCCCCCTGGTCTGTCTCTGCTGGGCCCACAGTAGCCAGCCCTCCTGGATGGCAGCAGCAGATCCTGCCTGCTGCTTTGCTGGTTCAGAGAACACCTTGTTCCAGTTAGATGGAGGGTGGTGCCCTCCGGCGTCACAGCCCCCTGAGCCAAGAGGACAGGCTGCCACAGGTCCAGTTACAGAGCTGCAGATTTGACCTTGGCAGGTCCAGGGTGTGTGTGTGTGTGTGTGTGTGTGTGTGTGTGTGTGTGTGTGTGCATGCGCGCGCGCCCGCGCAAGTGCACACGTGCCCTGGGGAAGTCATGCTTTGGACCTTTAGCTATGTTTGCACCTGGAGTTCCACAATGCACTCACTAGCCCCTCCCCAGATCATCCTGCCCTCTGAACCCTGTGCTCAGGGGTCTTCAGTTGAGACTCCCATGCCATGCCCGGCTCCAGTGATTTGTGGACTTCTCTCTAGACCTTATCGTAATAACATGTCCCACTGAGTGAGAGCCATCGTGCATGGTGCCAAGAGCTACTGGCATTGTCGCCTTAAGTCCGCCCAGCTAAGCCCCGTGAGGTTGCTCTTACCGCTATGCTACCCCCATCTGACAGCTGGGCAAACTGAGAGTCAGAGAGTAACTTGCCCAAGGACACTCACAGCCAGGAAGTGTGAGAACAGAATTTGAACCCAAATCTGCAGGGCTCCTCACTGGGCAGCCGGCGCTCTTGCCTGCCAGGGCCTGAGTTCGGTGAGGGCAGGGGCTGCTTCTGGTTCGGCCAGGCTTCCTGCACAGCCCAGTGCAAGGCCCCGAATCTGGTTAATATCTAGTTGGCATCCAATAAATACAGTGTCTACTGAGAGAACCAGTCCAATGAGCGAGGGGGGTGGGGTGGGGAGAGACTGACTCACAGGGTAGATACTGGTCTGGTCAGAAGCGGTTCAACCCCCAGTCCCAACCAGACTAGGGGGATCCCAGGTGCTGGAGAGTTTTGACATGACACCCCACCTCCGCTGCTGGACAGGGCCCAAGGGAGTAAACCAGAATGTAGACGCGGTAATAGGGAGCCGCAGATGGTCTGGGAGCAGGGGGATGGTACGATGCGGAGGGGCAGGGGAACGCTGCTTATACCACGTAATAGGGTGCCAGAGGCAAAAGCCCAGTCCTTGAAGGACTGGGCAGCCCCGGTAAGCCACGAGGGAAGGTGGGGACAGATGCAAGTGGCAGCCCCGCTTCCCAAGTAAGAACGAATAAGAACGAAGGAGACCTATCCGGTCAGCTCCCACTGCGGACCCGGCCCCAGCCACACGCCGGCCTTTTTGGGTTGAGGGGGACAGTCAGCGGGGAAGCCCGGGCACTAGGATTTGGGAAAACGGGGCCCTTCCACCTGCCTTCTGAGGCAGAGAAGGGGAGCTGCGAATGCGAGTGAACGCCGCAGAGAGCACTGGCTCGTGTGCGCGGAGCAGAAACCCTCGGGCTGGGGTCCACGGACTGAGCGCAGGCGTTGGGGCGCACAGGCTAGGGCGCCCCAGCTGAGGCGCAGGGGCGAGGGTGCACGGGCTGGGTGCAGAGGCTAAGACGAGCGGACCAGGGGCGCCCCCTCGGAGGACTGCCTCCCAGCGGGCGGCGGCAGGAGGGTCCCCTCGGAGAAACCGTGTGTGCGGCTGGCGGGGAACCTGATATTTCTCTGCGCGGCCCCGGGAGGAATGTTTCCATTACCCAGGCAGCGCCGACAGCCGCTGCCTTTCCTCCCTCCCGCCCGGCTCGCCGGCTTCCCGCCCCCTCCCCGCAGCCCCTCCGGGCCGCCGCGCAGGCACTTTGTGCAAATGTAACCTTTCCGCGGGCCCCGCCCCCGCCGGGAAGCCGCGCGCCCGGTTGCCAGGAACGCGGCGCGACGCGCTCGGAGCTGGAAGGCGGCCCGTTCATCAGCGGCTCTGACAGAGAATGCGACGCCCGGGCGGCCGGCGGGTCGGCCGGGCCCGGTTCCCTGCTCGCTCGTTCTTTGTTCCCCGGCTGCCCTGCGCTTCCCTACGCGGGGCTGAGCCTCTCCATTGCGCCCCTTCTCTCTGCTTCTTGCGTCTTCTCCTTCCCCTTTGCTCCTGGCCCTGTGTTTCCCCGCTCTCTCCCCCTCCCGCCAGATGGCCTCCTGCTCCTTTCCTTCCCCTGGAGATCAGAGAGTAAAAAGGGGTTCATTCGCCCCATTCTACGCCAGCCTGTTGGAGGGGGGCTCCCCAGTGTGCCTCTCGGTGACATCTTCCCCACTGGCTCCCAAACCCCACCCGCCACCCTCCTCACACCCAATATAAAGATCGCCAGCTGAGGTTTATGGATGACCTGGGTGGGAGTGGAGGGGTCCAGGAGACCCCTGAAATGATAAGTCACGCCTTGGGTGTATTTGCCTGGGTGTGGATCCAAAGGTTTCAGGAGTGTTTCAAAGACGGCAGTGATTAACGAAGATTAAAAATCACAGCCCTTGAGATGCTTCCCATGCATCTTATGAATGAATCTATTCAACAAATAGCTATTGAGACCTACTATGTGCCTACTATGTGTATGCTAAGGCCTGGGGACAGAGCCATGAACTTGAGATGGGGACCATCACATTAGACAAACAAACAGGTCATTACCTGAGAAAGGTACAAGCAGGAATGACAGACAGGTGAGCTCAACCTGGGCTGGGGCGGGGGTGTCTGAGGATTTCACAGGTCCCCTGGCACCAGATCAGCCTGCACCCCAGCCTCCCGCTCCCAGCCAGTGCCCCACTAGTGCCACCTTTCCCCATTCTATTCCCACAACCATGGTAAATAGTATTCAAAACCTGCTGGTGGAGTGGGTCCCCGACTATGGCCCCACCCTGTGCTCTCTCCAAGTCAACAGAGCTCAGAGTGACTGACCTAGAGGCCACTGTTATATGTGGACAGGCTCAAACTACAAGTCCGTGTTTTGTAGCAAGAACATTTGCTAGCATTTATTGAGCGATTGCTATGTGGCTGGCACTTTGCTAAGTGTTTTACATGCATCATTATCTTTCGTTTATTCACCACTTCAACAAGTGTCTACTGAGCCCCTCTCGTGCCAGGCATTGTGCCCGATGCTGGGGATAGACCACTTGCGGAGGCTGCTTGTCCTCATGGAGCTCACCATCTGGTGCAGAAGAGACAACAAAGGAATGAATTATTGAGCCAAGCAAAGCCTGTAACAAAGGCTGGGAATGAAATAAGCAAGGTAATGAGATAGACAGCAACCAGTGGGTGAGGCAGGGGGTGGGGTAGTAGCTACTTTGGATAGGGGTGGTCAGGGAGGGCATCCCCGAGGAGGGGGCATTCCAGCTGAGAACTAAAGGGTGAGGAGTCGGTCCCCTGGAGGAACTTCCCAGGAAGAGTGAACAGTTTACGGAAGGGTTCTGCCGTTCTCACCTTGTGAGGTGGGTATCACTACTGTGCCCATTTTACAGATCAGGAAACTGAGGCTCAGCAAAAGGAAATTTCTCTAGCCTGGAGTTCACCCTGCTAGGACTGGGGAGAGCAGTCTCCTTTCCTCACCCCTTCCTGAGGACTGGTTAGCCAGGCTTCCATAGGAGCAGCAGGGCGGGACAGTGTGCAAAAGTACTCTAGTCTGGACCAGGAGGCCTAAGTTCTAATCTTGTGTCTTTGTGCCGAAAGGAGACCATGGGCGATTCACCTATCCTGAGCCCCCGTTTTCCCCTCTGTGTAACGAGTGTAATACAGGCATGCCTCTCACAGGCCAGTGAGGTCAAGGACATAGAGGGTTGAGCAGAGGACTCCGCATCCAGAAAGCGCTCGGTGTGATCGCAGAGGTTGCCAGATTTCTGAAGTGTTGCTATAGAAGTGGTTTTTAGCCTGGCGAAAATTAGACAGGATTTTGTTGTTGGTGTTGTTGCCATGGGCCTGTGAATGGCAGTGAGGATTGCCTCGACCTCTTGCTAAAGGGTCTATGGAGACCCTGCCCGATGCCCCCTCATCACTCATCCCCCCCAAACACCTGGAATTTGTGTCTCTCTCCACATGCAGCTCTGGTTGGTAATGTCTGCAGGTCTGCCCGTCAAGAGGTGGCAAGGAGGACAGTCTGCTCACTCAGCCCCCACCATGCTCCTGGGCCAGGGTGCAGGAGAGGTAGGGGCAAGGAGTGGCCAAGGAGGGGGGACCAAATACTGAGCCTTGAGAAAGAGGAACTTCACGGTTGGTGGTGGGTTTTCAGCGAGGACTTGGAGTCAGCCAGGCCTCAGATCTGCTCTCTAGACTAACCTCTCATCTGTAAAGTGGGTGTGATCATATCAGCACTTTCTTGTAGCTGATCACATTGGAAAGGTGTTGGTAGTTCTGACACCAGCGAGGGCTCTGCTCTGTCCGTGAGCCTCTATTATTGTGGTTTTTCTGCCTGTGGCAACGTTGGGAAGTCAGGATGGAGGAGACACCATTTGAGCCGACCATTGTAGGACAAGAACGGGAGGGCTCCAGGGATGGGATTGGCAGCCGGAAGGTGCATCAAGAAACAGCAAATGGGCAAGTGGGGGCTGACAAGGAAGAGAG